TAATAGAACTCCATTTCCCATAAAGCTAACGTTGTAAGGGGTAAATTTAGGGGTTATTATCACTTTTAGCCCACGTCACAAACTATTTATATTCGATAGTCGAAAAATATATAAAATTTATATAGTTTTTGTATATAAAATATATAATGTATATAAATGTAAAAAATATACTTTTTTGACTATTATTTCGAAAGTGACCGTACAATGTCATTTTTTCTAAATTTAGTGAAAGTTTGAGGGGTTAGTATGTATTAATCCCAAAAAGTAATTATAATTAATTATCATCATGTGAAATCTCTTTAAGTGTAAACGCTCATGTAAGCCAAGTAGACAAAAGGGCAAAATTCTCGTGCTCAAAATTTTGAATTCAAGGCAGCGCCAAACTCTCTCTCTAATCATCTTCTTCTTCTTCTTCACCTCTTTCACACAGACACACACTCTCTGTCCTAAAATTCAAACATTAATCTCTCCAAAAAAAACCAACAATGTCTTCTATCAGACCATCGTCTCGCTATTCTAATAAAACTGGTTTTGATTCACAACGATCTTCCACTAAATCCGATCCTTCTTCTTCTACAGAACTCACACCAAAAACCCACAACAACAACGCTCTAATCAAAATCAAGAACGCTTCAAATGGTGTTACTCCAACTACTACCCACTATTCCAATTTCAGCTCCATGGTTAAGAAATTCGTTGAACACAAATCTACCTCTTCTAAATTGATTAAGCAGAAAAAGGGTGATTTGAAATTGGTTATACCTGCGGATTTTATAGCTGAAGATTTGAAGAAAACGGTAAAAAGAGGCAGTGGTTTGAGTGCTTTGCATAAGAAGTTGTTTAAAGGTACTTCTTCTTCTGCTACTGGTGTGAAGAAAGAAGAGAAGAAGGCGTTGACTGAGGTCAAAGGGAATACGAGGACATTGGGAATGGTGCTTAGAAGTGAGAGGGAGCTGTTGAGTATGAACAAGGAGCAAGAGGATCAGATTCTTGAGCTCAAGTTGATGCTTGAGGAGAAAAACCGAGAGGTACTTAATCTATTTGTATATCTGATTTTGCTGCCTACCGTCGCATTATCTTAATTTTTGGAGGCTAATTTTGATTTAAAAAGTTTATAAACAGCTTGGGATTGTTTAAAAGCTGTGTCTTTTTGAATTATGTTTGGTAAATTTTTGGGCAAGGTGCAAGCTTTTTGCCTATTTCTATCAAAGAGATTAGTTTCCCAAATGTGGATTTTCAGAATATTGGAGGTATAATTTGAAATCATAAAATGCCCCTTTTAGAAGTATTTGTGATGTGAAATTGGTAATCAATGTCTTTGGTGCTGGAGGTTTATAATCTTAAAAATGCTGGAATTTATCTTGTGCAAGGTGGCATTTTTATTGTTGTAAAATGTGGGATGATGTTACTTTTGATGGCACATTGGTTGATTATCAATTATTTGGAATTATTCCTGGATACTAACTGAATATACACGTATGTTATTTAAGTTGATGCTTGAAGAGAAAAAGAGAGAGGTGCTATAATTGTATATCATATAGTTTAATCTTGCATTCTATCATAGTTCTTGAAATTTGAACCTTTTTTTCTTCTGTAGCATAAATTTTTATAAGGGAAGTTTTCTATTTGCATCTTAATAATTGGAGGGTAACTTTGAATGAAATGTTTGACCAACAGCTTGTTCTTTAATTTGTTCAAAAGTGGCTGTTTTTAATTATTTGGGAGTACATTTTAGAGCAAGATGCAAAATTTTTGTCTATTTTATTCAAAAAGTTTATCTTTTGATATGTGGATTTTCAAGGATAGTAGAGGTGTAAATTTGTGCGGAAACTTCGCTTAGAAGATGACTCATTTGTTGTTGTAAAATGTGTCTGGTGTTGGTGGTTGATAATCGAAAAGAATAATGTAATTATCCTGTTGGAGATGCCACATTTGTTGTTGCAAATGTGGGTAATGATATTATTTTGTATGGCGTATTGGTTGTCTATCAATAAGTTGGTTATATGATTTTATTCTTCTTCTTTTTTGAATTTCCTTATTATGAGATTGGTGTTGGACCTTGAACAGAAAAAAGAATAATCCAAAGTTGTCTCCCTTTTTCCTCCCCGCAGTTTGCAGCATGAAGTAATTGAAGTAATTGAAGCTTTGAGCTTTTGTTAACTCTGCTTAATTTTCTGATTTGCTCATAATACTGATAGGTTGAGAAGCTTAAGGATTTGTGCTTAAAGCAAAGGGGAGAGATAAAGTCACTGAAAAGTGCCGTACTGTTCCCAGATGTTATGAATTCTCAACTTCAGGATCTTTTGGAGAAGCAGGGTTCAGAACTTATACAGGCAAAGCAGCTTATACCTAGTCTTCAAAGGCAGGTCACTTCTCTTACAGGCCAACTACAATGCCTAGCCGAAGATCTTGCTGAGGTAACAATATAAGTCATTATCGCGTGCTATCAGCTTTATATGAATCGTTTAGGACTCTTTGTTGGGATCTTTCTATTCTTTAAACCACAAAATTCCAATGTATGTTGTATTTAAAAAGTTTCACCATTACTTATGATAAACAAAAACTAGTTAAACTCAGTCAAGTTTTCTGTTAATATTATTAGCCTTACTAATCTTCAACATGAAATGCAAGTGCACCAAACTAGAGTTTGCGGTTGTACTTCAAAGATTCAAAATATCTACTGCCAAAGAGAATCTCCTTGATCGAACGATCCATGAACTCTTAAATATGTCTTAAAGCATATTGCAGAAGAGAAATGATTTTCTACCTCACTGATGAACCAAAAAGGCCCCGTGGCATGAAAAAATCAGTATTGTTTTTAGTTGCTGCTTGCTCCATCAGAAACTCAGTAGTTTAAATACTGGTCAAGATGAAAATACGGAAGAATCCTAAACGGATCTAGTTGATATAGTCTTTTTCAATATTTTCACTTTTGCAAGTTGAAAGTCAAACTCTCACTTCTATGTTTCTTACAAATGATTTGGAGGGAGCTATATGTTGGGATCTTGCATCACTTCGTTATCCGTATAACGTATGGGAATAAATTGTTTAACAGGGTTTCTTCTAGTGCTCTCTGTAAGATGAAAAAACAAAGGTAAGGAGTGCCATTAGCTTGCTCTTTGGTTTCTCATGTCATCAAGTAATATGTTTGTTCTGTAGTTTACCTTCTGATAGGCGCAAAAGACTCTTTTGTTTCTTTTAATTACGCTATTTGGTTGCTACCACAATTTTGAAAGGTCTGCTGGTTTGGTCCCCATGTGCTTTGGATGTAATAATGTATTAACTAAAAGACCAGCATTAGATTGTTTGAGAAAGTGTCTGATACTATAATTTTCACAGGTCAAAGCTGATAAATATGCTATAAGAGGGAGCTATGATTCCCTTGGTAGCCGTCCAGGATATGATCAAGAAGAAGCAGCTAATTCTCTGGTAAATTTCTAATTAATGTGCTAAATTTTCAAACACAACACAAAGTTTGTAGTGAACAAATTACATGATCTAACTTGGATAATATCCTTTTATGCAATAATTCTGCTCTAATTTATTATCCTTTCAAACGATATTTGACATGGATGTACATGTTTAGGCATTCGCTTCAGCCTTCAGGGGAGTAATTAGTTTTTTTGTTTCTATTTAGGAATTCAGCTCTGAGGATCAAACAATTCCCGGCAGTCCAGATGACATGTTTCTCAAGGATGTAAACCCCTGCTTAACACCTTATTACGCCAAGACAAAGTCCAAGGTGAGCGTCTCATTGGTGCATTCGTTTTGTAAAGATCGAAAGTTGTCAGTGATAGCCCTTCTTGTGGGGGCAATCCTGAATTTGCTATTGCTTTGAAATATCTTCTTGATGCATAGTGTTATGCTCTTATAAGTAAAGCGACTCGTGTTTCAGTGACTAACATGTTATGTTTTAGGAATTTGAGAACTTCAATTCTCCTGATACTAAAGATGTGGTAAAAAACAATATTCAAGTGTATCATGAGAATGGCTACAGTTCTTGTGCAAGGAAGTTGTCTAAAAGTTCAGACTGTCGCCAACATTCCAACACAAGCAACAAAACAACCCGTGCAGCTCGCAGATCTGATGAAAGCAAATGCACATATGGAAAGCAAGTCCACAGTAGGTTCTTCTGAGTTGTCCTCAATCCTGAAGATGTTTCTTGAGGAGCAGTAAACCTTAAGTCCAACAGCTCGGCTGAGAACAACATTCGTGGTGAATGCATAGTTGTTTCGAAATCAAATTCCTATTCCCTTCTCTCCTTTCCAATATACTATCGAAATCAATCTGCTTTTCAACATTCTTTTGAGATGTAGACCAAGTATCTGGTTCAGTATACATTTTGTTGGTATCTTATAAGATATGCTGGCCTAATTCCAATAGTCCATTGAATCTGAGTAGTCATGGTTATGTTTTACAAACTCTTGTGATGAACTGCGTGATTCGTTAATAAGATGATAATATCATATAATGCACATGTATTTCAAGAAAGATCAAGCTCATGAAATAATCATGGCGCGATAAGGATGCAATTTCAAGATTGTATTTCACTAAATCTGGGTAAGAATATCATATAAGTGATTCCACACTAATATATTTGTCTGTTTTGAATTCAGCCTTTTTTTTCCTTTTCTTCTACAATGGATATTAGGATATATGACCTCTCTTTTAAAATTTTCCCATGGGACTCAGTAGCTTGTGTAATGATGTAAATGAAAATTTCTTTTCTTGAGAGTTGAGACTAGTGAAAATACCGAGCATTTTAAACTTGATAGCCTAATACATTTTTTTTCCGTCAACAAGAGTAACAAGTACGTCTGGAGGTCCGAAATAATTTATTTCTATGTGTGTGTGCGAGCGTGCACTTTTCAAATTGTAACTGAGGTCCAAATTTAAATGGTTAAAATATTTTGGTTGGGCATTATCTAAAATAGATGCTATTTTAGGGGGGAAAATGAAACTTAAGAAAGAGTAGAGAGAAGGAAAAGAAATTTATAGGGTAGTAACCAAGTAAAAGAGAATTTTAATCACAAACTTATTCATAGTTTGGTTTATTATTAACTATTTATTCTAAAAAGATTTCTCCTGTGCTTAAAGTTTCGTCTTCTGGAGAAATTAAGAGCTTCCATATTCAGAGCGTCCCACCATTAATCGCCATCTTCACAACCTGGAAAACAACTGCACATCCAAAAAACAAAAAACAAAGATTTATTGCATCATTTTGGAAAAGGAAAAAATAAATAAATTTTGATTATACTAAAATAAAGAGGCACTTGCAGCATTTAAACAAAATCTACATCGGCTATTGACTGGTTCTGCTTGAGGTTTGTCAAATATAAGTATCAATTCTTCTATGAGTGAAACTATAGTGTACATTATCTGTTGTAGCGCGTAGTGTCGAATCTAAAAATTTTACTAAGGGAGTGTCAATATATATAAAAAAGTAAATACAAAAAAATAAATGAAGGGAGTCAATATATCATATATATATATATATATACATAAAATCAGCTTTTAATCTAACTAAAATAGTGTAATTTTCCGGTGAAAGGGTGTCAATTGATACCCTTTAGCATAAGGTGGCTCCGCCATTGGTAGCACGTGGATGCCTTCGACTTGAACTTTGTACACATGCATAATTGAAGAAGCATGTATATACCAGTGTTTTAAAAGGCAGGGGCGTGAGGCGGGACGTTTTACTTGATATGGGGCGAGACGGGAGGCATAAACTCCGTGGATCTTTAAAATTTTTAATTTATAAATTAATAAAATAATATAATAACACAAAAAATATAAAATATAAATTAAAAGTTAAAAATTAAAGAAATTCATAGAAAAAAAATATCTAGCATGATTCTTAAGTATAACTAATGCATACAAATCACGTATAACGTCTTAACTTTCAAATAATTAAAAACATACAATTTTTTAAAAAATGATCAAACTCCACATTTTACCTTTCTAAAAGTAAATAATCAATAAATTTTATTAGTACGATAATTAAAATATTACTCTTTCATGAATAAATACAAATTAGTTTAAGATATCAAGTTAATAAAAGTCTATAACTAGGAGAGACATATGAACTAAGACACGACCAATAACAAGTGAAGATATAAATTCATAATACTATGTCTCATTATTAGAGTTATGCTCAATCTTCATATTTCTATCGATGAATAGAACTTTTATCATTAATTTGTTAAAGAATTTTGAGGGTCAACGATATTAATTAGGAAATTCGACACGTGATTTGCATTAGAACAGTTAGACTACTAGCATTTAAATTAACACTGGTATATAGTACTAACATTTAAATTCATCATCATAGAAGCAGAGGCGGAGCTAGGGTGGCGAAAGGGGGTTTATCCGAACCCTTTTTGCTGAAAAATTACACAATATGTAAAAGGTCAAAATTATTTTTTATGCATAAATAATAGATGATGAATCTCCTTGGCATGTTTGTGTGTTTACCTTTTAATATTCCATATCCCTTGATAATATGCATAAATAGATATAGTGATATTCCACGCTAACTGATTTAAAATCTTGATTTCGTCTTTGGACTAAATATATATACAACTTATGATTATTTTTAATATCGGTTGACAAGCTTATTATATACAAGGAAAAAAAAGATTAAATAGGATTAGGGAAGCTTACAAGATCCAATGACCAAAACAGCAAAGAGAGCAAGAACAATGTGAGCTGGTTCCATTTTGTTCTTTCCTGTTAGAGGATTCAATCCTCTTCTTGTGATGTTCTTCTCAAACTTAGCTATTTTCCTCTCTGCAACTCTTTTTGATGTAGTCTGGCAAATTTCGAAAAAAAGAAAAACGAAAATCACTATTATTATTATTATTATTATTATTATTATTATTATTATTATTATTATTATTATTATCAATTTCTTTGAAAACATCAAAAGGAAAAAGAAGTCAAAAGAAAAGTAAATTATATTACCCAAAACTGAATATTAATTTTGTTCTATATTTTTTTATTTATAAATCGCAAAATGCTTCACATTTTTACCGTGTTTTTAAGAAATAATATCCACCTCCAGTATGTGTATAGAAACATAAATGCATTTATGACAAATAAAACAAAAACTAATAGACTTCGGAGAAAATATGGTCAACTTACGTTGTCGGGTTTTCAAAAGCTTCGATAAAAAAAAATCAAAGTATAAGGCCAAATCAAGTAATTTTATTTCTTTTTAACAAGAACAAGCAAAGCAATTAAGTTAGTGATAAGGATAATCAACATTAAATTTTGTTAACAACAAGAATAGATTAAAAAAAGGAAGTGAAAGGAAAAGAGAGTAATAACTACAAATCCATGGCTCTTATTGATTTTCTTATTAGGGCGGTGTTTGGGCGTTTGCAAGAATTTCTTTTTTAAAAAGGTGGTGTCGGGGTGCTGGCGTCTCCATTATTTCATCGTGTACTTACTATTTTTCAAATAGTTTGACGGCCAACGGTCAAATCATGATGAACCCTTTAAATAATACAAATAATTCACACAACTAAATTCAATTAATTTGAAATTGAGACGTAGTTAGTCCGATAGACTCCTATCATATTCCTCGAAGTTAAAAAACTTGCAACAAATAGGAGAATAGAATCAAACAAAAAATCCCATGGAAAAAAAATTCTTCCAAGCGCCAAACTTTGCAGTAATCTACGGTTTCAAATAGAGTATATATCGCCCCAAAAATGGAACTCAAGAGAAAAGTGCATTAAATAATTTTCAAAAGATAGAATCGCGAACATAATAATTTCTGGTTGATCATGTTGCTAAAAAGATACTTTTGAGAAAGAACAAGCACGAGTGAATAAACATACAAATCTATATGCTTGGATCAAAGAGGACATCAACATAGAGAAGGAGAAAAGGAAGAGAAAAAAAAAACAAATAAAAAGAGAAGGATGTTTTTACCATTTTTTTGTGTGTCTGTTGCTTTGCTTCAATGGTGTCAAGTAGAATAAACGAAGAATTAACTTGGAGGCTGTCTGTGAAAAAGTTGTAAGAATCCGAGAAAACCTAAGACTTGTATGTGAAAAGAAAATTTCTTTTTTGTGCGTTATCTTTTTTAGAAATCAACCATTTCAAAAGAGGAAACACATTCAATGTTTTTCCACTCTAATTAATTTGGGTATTGCATTAATTGCTTCTTGCTTTAATAGCCAATTTAGCTTATATGACAGGTGTTAATTTTCTCTTCTTTTTTAACCCAAAAAAAAAAAAACCAAATACAATGGGTAGAGATACAGGATACTGTCAGTATCAGTTAACAATGTTCATTCAATCATAACTAATATAAATATTTTCGCAAGATCTATGATGTACAATATATTATTATGGTGAGATTAATTAATCGTTTCTTCGAAAACATCACACAAAACTGAAACAATTTAATATCACTACCTAGTCCCATCTCGCGTTTCACGGAATTAAGCATCCATCTCGGAAAAATATATTTTCCCCTTAAAAACAAATAATTATAGTATGTCCTTTCTGTTAAATTTGACAAGATTAATGTGAACTAGTGTGAACATTTGAAGCCTCTTTTAGGAAGAAATTGGTAGATGCATTTTTCATGCATTTACATTGCATGATCACACTTAATATGATGTCATGCATGATATTATTAAGGTTTAAGGCCATTTCCCTTCTATAAATAGCAAAGATTTTGTTCATTTATATACATCTCTCACTTGCCTTCTTATCTCCTAGGGCATTTGAATCTTTTTTCTCTCTTGTAGTATTTCACTTGTATTTTTGGAGTGAAATAAAGTTTGAGTTATTGTGTCAGAGGACTAGACAAAAATCAAATTTTGCCGAACATCGTTAATTTCTGGTGTTCTTTTTATTATTGTCTCAATTACTATTTATTAGCTACCTTTAGATATAGTAATTGTGATTTAATCACTCTCTATATATTCAACTTCCACAACACTTTCATCTAGGTGCTTTAGATCCCATTTGTTCTTTTTTAATGGAGATCTAAATTTGAATTATTTTTCGTTTCACGTGAGAAAGAGAGTTTAGAGTGTCAACCCTCCATATAAGGCAATCTTCTGATAGAGAAAACGAGGCAGAGGACAATCGATTATGTGCCAGAAGATGCGATGATATTGCAAAGGCAGGAATGAGTTCTTAACGTTCGGATAAGATACTCGACCGACTAAAAAGGAGAAAGGGAGATGACTCTAGTTGTTGAGTACACTGAAGAAGGTAATAGATCTGACTTCTAGCTGTAGCAGATATATCTCAATCACATATGCTAGAGCGCTTTCTCTTGATTCTATTCTTTGCTCTAAGGAATGCCCTGTTTAATTTGAATCATCTCGTTTACTTTTAGAGTCAATTATTCAAATCTTAAAAAAAAGGTCTTTAGATTATTAAGAGACTATTTCAATTAAAGAATGGATATCAATTAGTACCACCATCAGCCAACCCCAACAACCATCACAATTATCCACTGCTATCAACTAGTGCCACCATAACAATTACCATCACTACCAACTATCACTACTAACCACCATTTTACATTATTTTTAATGGATATATAATATTTTGATTAATTTATTGAATAACATATCTTCTTAAATATTTTAATATAAATAGATTCTAAACATTCAGATATTCACAAAACAAACAATCCTAAGCATTCAGTATTCAAAAACAAAAATATCATATTGACATCTTAATCATTAAAAGAAGAAACAAATGGCTGCTTCTTCACTCATAACTAGGGATGGCAAACGGGCGAGTCGGTTCGGTTATGAGACGAGTCAAAAATGAATAATGTAAAAATGGATAAATTATCCGACTCGACCCATATTTAATACGGATAAAAAATGAGTTAAATATTCATATTATCTATGGCTTCTTGAATATGATCACTTTTGGAAGAATTCCTAGTCTCCCAAACTTGAGGAACTCCCAATTTGAGGTTTTACAAATATAAAAATTAAACCCATTAGTTATCTATTTTCTAAATGGATAATATGATTCTTATCCATTCTTGACCGGAGTGATTTGGTTTTGATGATTGACAAAGGAACACATGCATGAACCAGGTCCATGGACAATATACACAGGTGACAGATAGAATCAAGCAAAAGGCATGCACGTGAAAGGGATAAGTATAAGTGATTATTTTTGATAATCCCTGAACGAAAAGGTTGCATATTTGATAAAGAGCAAGACTCCTTACTTGAAGAGAACTATATCCAAGATAATAGAAGAGTTAGAAGTAGAAGTTGACTAGAATTCTTCCACCATGAAAGAGTAAAGCATTAAAACTCTAGTTAATCCTTATTTTACTAACTCTATAAATATCAGTTGTATTATCTTCTACATGTGATCCACACATAGTGAAGTTAAGCATGAATTGAGAGCAAAATAGCAAGGCATTTTGTGAGCAATTCCTGTGAGATTTAAGAGTGATCCTGAAGCTACACGAACCACATTGAAGAACCAGCTCCATAAAGAGTTTTATGTGTCTTTCATTATTTGTAGTTCAAAGTGTAGTAGGCATTTTGAGTTGTACCTTTTAGCTTTCGTAGAAGTAAATTATACTTGGTACATGAGTTGCATTATTCACGTTAGAGTTAACTTGAAGTAGTCGCAATAGCCTGTGGCGTGTTGCTACAAGGGTTAGAGTTAATCCTTAGGTTTGCAAGAACTTGTAAACTCGAGTTGTTTTGTTCAAGTTTGAGCTAACTTGAAGCAGTCGTAATAGCCTGTGGCTGGTTTAAGGGTGGCATGTGGATCGGGCCCAGTCCTAAGTGGGCTTCGTGGGCCGGTCCTAAGTGGGCCTGGTCCCAACTTAAACGGACCTAAGTGGGCCTGGGCTTCGCAGGTTTTTTGTTGGAACCGGCCCGGGACCGGGCCCACGAACTAATAGTCCCGGATTAAGTGGGCCGGTCCCGGGCCTAAGTGGGCCCAACATATACTTTCTATTTTTTAAATTTTTATTTATAGAAGTTAGAGGAAAAAAATGATAATAAAAATATATAAGGCAATTCCTTGTAAATTATATTATAGAATTGTGACCTAAAAGTTTTAATTCAAATATTAAGATAAAAATATTGTAAAGAGATATTCAAAGCAATGCGTTATAATTTTATTATAGCATTAAAAAAATATGGCAATATCTTTCTTAGTCTTCCTCCCCCTATGGAATGAGCACAACAAGGTGCTAATACCACCATTGAGAAGAAAAAGAAACTAATCAAGATGTGCCAAAATACAAGTTACATATTAATTTTTGTTCATACAAGTTACATGGTATCTCTTACAAATTTCATAAATCTTTCAAGGTCCGGAGGAATTTCTGTTGGTGGTGGCGGAAAAGAAGCTTGGTCATCACCGCTTCCGGGCGAAGCAGCATCCTCCGTAAGTTAAGCTAGCATTTCCTCGTAAGTTTCGTCTACTTATGGTTGTGATTCAACAAGTCCAAAAATTCTTCTTTCCGAACGGATCCAATCTCTGAAAAGTATTTTTTTTCCAAGATCTCCCTCATAGACGCACAATAATCACTGAGTTGAAGTCTTGCTTGACTGAAAGTGCTCTCCGATGCCACTGTTAAAACTTGAATAGTTAAAATATCTCGGGCCATCCTTGAAAGAATCGGAAAGTATTTTTCTTTGTCCTTCCACCATTCAAAAATATTAAAGAAGCCGTCGGGATTCACTTCCTTAATTCCCTGTGATAAATAAACTTCAAGCTCATTTAGTTGTGAAAAATCACTAGTACTAGAACCTTGAGAACCCCTGAACCCCATCCAAGCACTAAGTGCTCTTACTCCCGCAGTTCTTTTAGATGATTGAGAACTAGAAGAAGAAGGAGTTGGAACATTTGGCCTAGCATGATCTACTGCAACTTGATAAGCATTATAAATAGTTTGAACATTTATTTTAATTGAGGCTATTGCATCCGAAAGTTTAGACAACTCCTCATCTTCAAGTGCTAAACCATTATAAACAGTTTCATACTAAAATTTAGGACCTCCTAATTTCATAGTAAGATTTAACAAGGTAGCAACACCATAAATAGGGGAATAGGAAAAAAAATATTTTTTAAACCTTTTCTCATAGAATCAATAGCAAGTTGATAAATTTTCCCACCCTCTGAAAAATGATCAAACAAATTTGCAAGTTCTCCAATATAAACTAAATCGTTAGAAATAGTAGGATAATATTGCCCAGAAAATTCATTTGTAGCAATATAAATTTTTTTAAAAATATCTACACGCATTTTAACATTAGCCCAATTTGCATTTGTATGGTGCTCATCATCATCACTTACATGAGCATTAAATTTTGAGTTTATGGGGTTTCTATATTCATATGCAACAACTAAACTTTCATACATGTAATTCCATCTACTTGGACAAGGTTTAGGAACCTTTCTTTCTCTTAGGCCAAATTCATCACATCTTTTAAAATATTCTCTAAGTCTACTTCTACAGTTTGAATAAAAAACCCAGTTAAGAGCCATCTTAACATTTTCAATTTCAACATTTAAAATTCGCATACCATCACCCACAATTAAATGATAAATATGACAAATATATCTAACATGAAAAATGTTACTAAATGCATGACTTAGTGTAGTGGTAAGCAAGGCTACAACATTTGTGTTACTAGTAGCATTATCCATTGAAACTGATATTATTTTATCACTATGCAAAAATATCTACAAATATCCGTAACCGTGCTAGAAATAAACTGCCCTATGTGATATGAATTAATTATTTTATAAGCAATAATGCGCTTTACATTATCCAATCCTCATCAATCCAATGATTGGTAACAGTAACGTAATCACAGTCATTACCACTTCTACCAATATCAGTTATAATAGCAACACAACAATTTATATGAGTAAATAAATAGCACAAATATTGTTCATATTCATATTTATATTTATAAATATCGCTCTTTACGGTTGTGTGAAGAAAACCTTTATAAGTAGGATTAAAAACTTTTCTAATATAATGCACAAAGTGAGGGTTAGAAGGAAAACTATAGGGTAAGCACATAACAGTAACTATTTTTGCCAATTCTTCCCGATCTTTTTTTGGCTCATAATATAAAATACCACCGGTAATAGTGTTAATTC